CAGCTACATTCTCAGATATTAGAAATAACACTTTCTTTTAAATAAAAACATAATACAACTAATGACATGCTATTTCATATGCATCTGATAATCCATGAAACAGCAAAATCCCTAGTGCGAGCACAAATCAATATGAGCAAAAGAACCAATCAATGTCCATAGCGAGAACTCTGTTTCAAAATTACGAATCTCTGAACATGATGCTCCTGAAACTGAAAGGCTCTACAAATGAAAATGGTCCAGTTTTACTTGCTATCGGGTTTTAATGAAAGTTTCCTGCCACCACGAATATCGTCTGCGGAAACAGTTTGCGCTGGTGTGTTACTCATATTTTGTCAAACGATATTTGGCATTTGAAAGAAAGAGACTTGCTTTAGAACACTGCATTGTGAAATTTGCAAAAAATATCATTAAGGTGTCTGAAACAGAACTTTCATGTGTACAACTGCAGGTACTAATCATGTGTACAACTGCAGGTACTAATGTTCCACCATACAACACCGAGAGAGCATATTATCGAAAGTTTAAAAACAAGGACTATAACATTCATGAAGCAGAGTGCTCTGGCTGGCCTACTGATGTTGATGAAGCCTGGCTGTGAGACTTTTAGAAGAAAATCAGCTTGCAACCACTCGAGAGTTTGCTAAGGAGTTAGATGTTAGTGTGATGTTCATTAGTCATGCTATGCATCGCATAAACTTCACGTACAAGTTCAATCCTGGGTGCCACATGAGCTGACTCAAGAAGATACGGACAGACATGTTTGGGACTGCACTAATCTGCTCAAATATCAATGCAAGGACAAAATTCTGGACCAGCACTTGCAATGAAAACTGAATTTACTTCAACAAAACAGGCTGAAACACTCGGTAAGTTGGTCGGCAGCATCGCAAAGCACAATTTGATTAACAAAAAAGATCATGCTTTATATATGGTGGAATTGCCATGGTACTATTATCCATAAAGAGTAGCTGGAAAAAGGTAAAACTCTCAAGAGTAAGGTGTAAAGCGAGATGTTAGTCCATGTTGACGCTTGCTATCAAGGGAAAATGCCAAACTGAGTTCTAGCGCAAAAAGGTAATGCTCCAGCAACATAATGCAAGTCCAAATGTGTCTGCATTCACTAGCACGACACTGTCTAGACTCGAATGGGATCTTTTGTCACACCCACCATATAGCTTTGATATTGCTCTTTCGGACTTCTGCCATTTTTCACCCCAGCAGCTTCATCTTGCTGGTGCTATCTTCCATTCTGCATAGGACACCCGAAATGAGGTTGATCTGTTTTTGGACTTGCAGCCACCAACTTTGTGGGCCGATGCCTTTTAAAAACTACCTAAATGTTGGCAGAAGTAGTGATTACTACCCACACTAAAGGTACTGCTTTCATGTTTTATTTTTTCCTAACTTCATTAAGAATGATTTTTGGTGGTAAGCTTTCGTTACAACCAGATATATGATCAAGAGAAAACTACAGTGCAGCCTCCAACTACTGCAAATTCAAAGAAAAACAGAAAATCTTCAAAAATTATGAATTACACAATATACGAGAAAACTAAACTCAATTTTAGGAAAAGCAAGGGAAACGGTATGTAAAAGGAAATCAACTTGTTCATCCAATGACAAGTAAAATGATAGCAACAGCGTGCAAGTTGAGAAATTTGCTGTGTTTTTAATGTCAATCCTAAATCTACAAATTCCAATTGATAATGTTATCAATCAAGCCCCCTACAATGAAGAAAACTTTTTTTAGTTCAACACTGTGTTTAGAGTATAGCGAGAAAAACTTATCATGTTTGTTTTGATTAAACTAGAAAATTGTTTAAATTTGTAAATTGTGCCACCTCAAATTAAAGAGTCTAAAATTTCAAGCCAGAAATTTAGATTAATATTCTTCGGAATTTCCATGCATCAAAGGCATTTAAAATTTCTGTAAATCATGCATACTACACTGTATGCAACAGACTTCAACTGCACACAGCAGAAGACGATTAAATGGCATACATTTCCTCAAAGGGCATAAAAAATCAGTGAAATAAAACGAAAAGAAATATCAAATTTCCTCATAGAAACAATGAAATGCATGTCATAGAAGTCAAATATTATATACACATATTTTATTTTTAGTTGAACGCAGTTCAAGTTTCAGTCGTAGCCCATTCAAAACAGAAAGATGCCTCTTTTAGATTCTGCTATAGCCAAAAAATTTAGCTGTGGGCCCATAAATAGTACTGTATTTATGAAAACACTTGCAGAAAGCACTGTTGCCAAAACTGTTAAATCAGATTTCCATATTGCTCTAAGTATTGATGAAAGTAATGATAACAAAATCTTCTTTGACTGTGACATATAAACAAAGGACTAGAATGCTTGAATAATACCAAATATGGCATTTTTATAAATGAATATTTTGTAAGCAAATGTTTAGAACGAAAAACTGCTTCTCATTTTTTTTTCAAACTATGCTATAGTAACATGTTGACAAAATTTAAAGGTGTAGCACCATTTGTGTAAATGCATCAACCAGCTGTAATCATCCAACATTGATCAAACCATCCCTTCATATAGCTGCAAAAATAAAGTTACTGAAAATTGGCTCAGAAACAGAAATTAATTAATATATATATTTTTATTTAGAGAAAAGTTTAAAAATGAAGCATAGCTTCAAATTAGTTGAACAAATTTTGGCAGAGAATGGAAATTCACTTAAAATTTTGAAATTCTGCAAAGCAAGATGGCTTTTTCTTGTAGAGCCTATAAAGAGGATTTTGGAACAGTGAGATTGAATAATTTTTTGGTGGCCTAATTAGATAGTGAGAATGATGGAAATAGATTGTGAAACATTTTTAAAAATTTACAATTCATTACTTTTGAAGAATACTTTGCTTTTATTTATAACAGCAAAAGTTAATTTGAAATAACAAGTTCCTAATATATATAAATTGAGAAGATATTCTGAAGAACTTTATATCAAACTGTTAGATTTTTCAAACACTCAGTAATTGATTGCCTGAAGACGATGCAAAAGTCAATCCGATATCTGTTCAATTTCAAAAAGGTACTAAACAAAAAGAAAATGAAAATTTAATGATTAGTGCAGGAAGATTATATTTTTTACATGTTCAGTTAAATTAAACTGAAGTGAAATTATGTTTTAATTCAGCATGGAATACATAAAATTATGTATGATGCACTTTTAAAACTTGCTGAAGCTGCTGATATTAACTTACAAACTAAAGTTTCCTTTTTGTCCATTTATTTTATGGTGAATACTTCCATCCATTATTCACGCAAAATAGCTTGATCAAGTAGAAAACTTAATTATCTGTCAATCAAACAGATAACTGAAAAGACAACAAAGATTCATGCATTGATAAAAGCATGGGAAGAACTTGCAAAATTAAAAGACAAAAATGGGTGCTTTAAATATATCATACTGCCTCTTGTGATGCTTGGAACTTTAATAATGCCTCATTCAAATGTAATCTGTGAATGATTTTTTTTTTTTAATTATCAAAAAAGGATCAGACAGCATTGCAACCAAATTACAAAAACTTATAAAGGCATTAGGTATTTTTTGGAAGCAGGCAAGATGAAAAATTAGCAACGCCTTCGCCGGGAATCGAACAGTGGACCTCTCAATTATGCCCTGCGTGTGCTGATTATTACAGCACAAAGGCTCGCTAAAAAGGTGGGAGAAATACCTTATATACTCCCCCTTTTAAAGGGCAACTGGGGTTTTTAGGGGACCCAATTGCCAAATCCTGAGTGAGGAGAATCATCATCCAACACCCTTATAGTTTGGGCACCACTGTAGAGACATTAGGTATTTTTTGGAAGCAGGTAAGATGAAAAATTAGCAGTGCTTTCGCCAGGAATTAAACTGCGGTCCTCTCAATTACGCGCTGAGTGTGCTGACCACTACACCACGATGGCTCGCTAAGAAGGCAGGAGAAATACCTTATAAACTTTTGAATCATTGAAAAAGTAAACATGTAGGTAGATGAGTTATGTGCATGAAAAAAGATTCTCTGATTTAGAACTTAAGCTTGCTAAATATACTATACTTCCAAATCTTAGTATTAATCATTTATAAATGGATTATACATGCTTTTGAAGAAATGTATACTTTATCTTTATTTAAAACTATTTTTTTTAATTTTCTTTAAAAATATAGAACAAAATGAGAATCCAAATACCTTTTAAAGGTACATGATGTATGTATTTTAATTTCTCCTTCATATGATTATTTATTTGCAATTTAAAATATTCACTTCAAAATTATATTAGTAGATTTAGTGATATTTCTGCTTGAGTAATGAATTGAAAATTTCTAATTAAATAAGAATATAATTTACAAGAAAGATTTTTAATTTATGCATTTTATGTTAAATGTTGACTGGTAATTAAAAAAATATGCCTTGTCATCTGTGTATTGACTACTGACAAGTTTTGCTGTAGGCTGTATATGATTAGGCAACCATCTCTGTAAGCCGGGCAGATCCTGTAAAATCAGTAATGCAAGAGATATAGATAGTTAGCATACTTAAGAATTACATTAATTGAGCCAATTTCATGTGCTTCCATGATGTTTGTTCACTTCATTTTTTTAAAATAACATAATGCTGTTAAATGCCTAATAAAATAAAACATTATAACTTGTTCATCTAGGAGGGAGACAAGCCCTCAAGTTGCTTTGCATTCTAATTCTAGCCCACAACCGCAGAATGTTGTGATTATGACCCAACTCAGACCCACAGTATCATTGTTAGTTGAACACCTCTTTCTAATTTCAGAAGCTAAAAAGCTATCAGTCTCCAAAACATAGGTGAAGCTCAAGAAATTTGTTAAAGGCATTCACTCCTAGCACCATATGGCACATAGTAATTTAAAATGTGCACAAGGCATGAATAAATATAATATGCAATGCACTATAAATTCATAATAAATAAAATGGAAGAATAAACATACAGAAAAAAATTATATTAGCGAAAAATTACCTGGCCTCTCTTCCATTGCTCTTGAAACATTTGTAAGTTTCCTGAATGGTATGGATCTTTTAAAAGTAATATTTTACCACTTCCAAGCCAAATATGGGGTATTTCAGGATACAAAAGTGAACTCTCTGCAAGAATACACGTTCGAATTGGAGGCAACTCTCTACCAGATCTAGACATTTGGTAACGCCGAGTGAAATGAAGCAGTTGTTTTTCTTTACACTTTTTGTCAGATTTTCGAACTTTTTCCTCTATGACACAAGATATAACTTCATCTAAGGTACTAGTTAAAGTTTTTTGGGAACTAGATGAACTACCACTACTCTTTCCTCCCATTTTCCCAGTTGGGCGGATAAGAAGTTCTCTTAGGGTAGAAAAATTTTCACTTCTGTCATCATCACTTTCTAATGATGCATCTGCATTACTTTCTTGATCTTCTGATAATTTATCATCATCATCTTTCTGTTCACTAGAGTCTTTTGTTGAAGAATTAAGAGCTACATCAGCCAGCCAACTTAAAGGCGATCCTCCACTTTCAGAGCTGTAACCTCCTACTCCATCTTCATGCTTGATCAAACCATTCACAGAGCTCTTTCCTGAGCGTCTACTTAAGCGAGATGAATCGGAAGAACCATTTGCTTCTCGGGAAGAATCTTTATCAGATGAGAAACACTTAGTTACAGCACTCATTAGCTAAAAAAAGAACAGAAATCAGGAAACATAAAACATTAGTCAGCAAAAGTAAATTAAGATTTGTTTGAATCAGAAAATTTTTACTAGATATAAAATTTAGTTTTAGGAAAATTAAAACTGGAATACTAAACTTTTCTGTTTCAAAGGCAGAAATTGTACTAATTCACAACTTATGAACATTTTGTAATAATTCACAATCTTATATTTCATTCAACACTCTTGTATTTTTATGTAGAAGTTATGTTTTAGTTACACAGTTCTAATAAAATTAATTTCAAAGAATTATTTAAATACTGTCAAGAAACTGTACTAACAATACACTGTTATAAATAACAAGGTGTGGTATTTTACTTATTTGTTGAGCTACCTATAAATTAGTGTGAAAATCTTGTCTTGTAATACCAACATATATTCTCCTCCATATGACTTCATGAAATAACACAAACTAATGAACTAATAACAATGCAAAATTAACTGAAATAATGTACAGGTACAATGAATGAAACTTAAAATGGGGTTCAGAATTACAATGCACTACAGTGTAGCAATGTGAGGTAACAGTAATAGCAGTAACAAGAGGATGATCGACACTACACCTACACAGACCAATTACAACCAAGTTGTTGGTTAAGTTGAACCCACACCCTTGATCAGCTTCTATTAACAACCATACAGTCCAGGGTAGCTGTTAGTAACTGAAATGGTTTTGAACTACATTTTTGGAAATGAAATTCTGTGGAAGCAGAATTGCATTGTGCAATACAAAATTCACAAAGGCAAGCGCTATGAACATTATGGTGGTTGGTAGAAAACAAAAGGCGTACATAAAATATATCAATATGAAATTTATTATCAATTTTAACAATCAATACCCATTAAACAAGAAATAACTCGTTTTATTAGAAATCATTTTTTACATTTTGACTACATCAGTTTTTAGATTACAAACAATTTTTGCATATATAAATATTAAAAATTTTTAAGGATGTTTTGAAGGTTTTTTTTAATATTATTTTAAAGTACCTACTTAATTTTCAAGTTTTAGAAAAGGCAAAAATTAAAACTTTAAAAAATTACATAGTACAAGCTATCTGAAATGTGATTTGTTCATTTATTCAATCATATAACAAAGGGCTATAACATTTTATATACTTCAATTACAGTTTTAAATCAGCACTACCTTATGTCAGCCTAAATTACCTGCTATATCCCAAAGTTTTACCGCGATCATCTCTAATGCATTTTTAATTTATAAAAACATAAAAAGTATTTCATTCTTCAATTTGCAGTTAGTAGGATAATTTGTTTAAAAATAACATAAAATGGAAAGAAGTGCATAGGTGAAAAGCTCTCTGTCTCTGCAATGTCTTCATACAGGATTTCAAAAAGATTTAAAATAATTAGTCTCTCCAAATTTATAAATCAAGCTACTATCTACATGTACCAAATTTTTCAAATGCTTAAAAAAAGTCAAATAATCAGTCTAAAAAATTCATTATGAGCCAAAATTTCATATGCTTGAAAATACCTGAGACACATTTAATGCACTGTTGAATATAGTGCTCCTTTTTCAAAGAAGTGGCTAATTTTTAAAAGATTTGAAAATAAGAACAGTAAGATTTCTGGTTTACGACTGCATTTATATTATAATAGCTGTTGATGCAAATACAGTCACATCACAACAATTAGATTTTTTGTCTGTGGCATATTTGATTATGTATTAGCCATTTCATTAGTAGTTTGCTCTAGAAATTATGATTTTCTTAACAGTTTAAGACACAACTGATATTCAAAAAGAAAAACAAAATATGCACTTAATAAAACATGGTATGTGTATATAAAATATAAAAACTATTCTCCATTGTCTTTGCACTGAATTTGTCACACTGCTTCTTGAAGTTTTTCAATCACACAAATTTTATTCATTTTGTGTACAGTCATACCAATTTCTCTTATTTTTCCTATATTAGAATTTCAGATATTTAATAAACGCAACAACCAGTAATTTTAGTTCCTAGAATGACTGCATTACTTAGTTTTAAAAAATTAAATACTTTTGAATGGTTATTTTGAAGATTAATCTCCTACATATAAGATTTTATGGTTAATCAGTTAGGAATAAGTATTACTGCGAAATACTTGTATATAACAGATTAATTACCTTAAGAGAAATTTGTTAATGCAGAAAAAATTAAATACACTTTCATAATACGCAACACAGAAAAATAAACTTGGCTTATTTTTATATATAATAGATTTACCACATAAAATATTTATTCCTTTTATGCAGCAATCTGTTAATGTACGCAAATATTAAATGAATTACAACATTAAGCAACAGAGAAAAAGGAGATAAGTTTTTTTTAATTTTTAAAATGTTGTCTTACTTTAAAATGTTAAACATTATATTAAAAACAAAACTAAACTGAGACATTATTCTGAATTACGAAGAAGAAATGCATCTTAAAATGCAAAAACAATATATCAGACCTTGCATATGCCATTTGATGAACTCCTACCATCTTGATCACAGTCTTTATTTACACAGTTACAATATGTAGGAATGTTCCATTTTCGACGTATTTCATGTAATGTTTTGCCAACATCCCACAATGCTGTACCAGCAATAATTTGTGTAAGCATTAGCTTCTCTTGCTCATGAGGCTGTCTATTTGTGCACAACAGCCATTGATAATCATCCCGATCTTTAGTTGACAACTCATCTAAAAAAATTCAAGTATACATAATTCAAAAGACATAGAATTGAGTACATATTACATCACAATAAAAATTTAAAAGATGCAGGAATCAGATACCCTTCAAAACTTGACATTTAATATTTGATATAATTTAAAATTATTAAATTTAACAGGAAAATAATTACTTTATAATACTAAGTAAAACTTGATCTTAAAAAAGACCAAATTAAAAAAAAAATAATGCACATTTTCAATGAGGTACAGTCAAATCCATGTATCAAGTAAATGAAAGCAAATAAATTTTTGAAGAATGAAACAACAGGAACATGGTTTGGTTTCATTATGGCAAAGCATGCAAGGGCTATCTACTTAGGAAACGGGACGCCTTTGTGGAGAACTTTTAAAGAAAACTGGCTCGTATCCACATTACGCACATGGGGATAAACATGAAAATGCCCATGCAGTCTTCTGGAATTGAAATTAGGTCAAATAACCAGTGTTCAGCACCTGGTGGCACATTCAATATCTTAAATAGATAATCGTGACTAAAGTGTTGGAGGAGGGCAGGTAATATTTCTTGCAAAAAATTCTCACATAAGATTGCATATGTAAGAAACCAGAACACACTAAAATATGCTTTATATATATATATTTCATAATTACAAAACAACTTTTTTGTAAAACATAAGATAATCATGCCTAGTATTAAGCACATTTAAGCTGCTGATATTTTTGGCCTTTGTGAAAAATTTGTCCTAAATTTCTTACTTTATGTCTTTACTGATTATATATATAATATACACATAATTAAAGAAAGGAGAAAAACTAAATAAGACCTTTGTGGTCAAAAACTTTGCGCACTGAGCTGCAAAATTTAGAAAACAAAAGAAAATTCCTAGTTTGTACGCCAAGAGGTTGCTTAGATACTGTGGTTCCGATGAAAACATTAACAAACGTAAAATAAAGTGCAATGAAAAGTGTAAATATAAAAGATGAACTAAACAATATTAACACTTGAATATTTACAAATAAAATTCAAAACTAATTGTAAGTAATATGCTGATCAAAGTAAGGCACATGTTAAACATTAGAATTAAAGTGTGACAAAAGACTTAAGCAAAAATACAAAAACAAAGAAGCGGTAAATGGTAGATTAGCCCAATTCGAATCTCATTAAAGACTCTTCAGGGGAAATTTTTTAATGATTTTCGAATCCAGCTAACTCCATATAGCGTTTCGCCAAAACAGAAAATTGAAACTGTATACAAACTCCTTTTTAAATATTAATTGAAAAAACTTAGTCATAAACTTTAGTCTCAATTCTCTGTTCCAATTAATTTCCTGACACATCCGCTTGAAGAAACACATTAAGGTGTAATAATAACTATACATAAGGGACTGGTAATGCCTATGTACAAAATAAAATAGGGATTTGCTATTAGTCAAAATACATATACATATAGACATAAAACACCTATATTTATTATACACATATATATATAAATAGGAAGTAAATTCAGAATTTAAACAATTTTAATTACAGTATCAGATTAAGATTTGATTGTGCAATATGTTCCACATTTATTTCATAAGAGTGCATCAGATATAACACAGCCTTAAATTTCCTAAAATGTCGATTTTTATACATATATTTTAAAACTTATCAAAGATGCTAATTTTTGAAACTGAAAAAGTAATTATATTATTTTAAAGCTTAATATACTGTTAGAATGTTCTCTTTGATTCAGTTGTATGCTTTTTTTAATTTTTGTTTTATAACAGTATAAATAAAAATCTCAATATTTTATAAGAAATGTTCAAATTATTGAATATATATATATATATCCAAAAGGACATTTTTAATACACACTACTGATTATTACAATTCCAACACCATGAAAAAGTAAGCTACCCACATAAAATTTGCATAACAGATATAACATGGTATAAGATGAAAAAGATTAGTAACACAGCATATATGTAAATAATGGCTGCTCGTAACATCAGGAAACTGATGCTCCCATTGGCAGGAATGCAACCACTGTCATATGAATACAGAAACAATGGGTACCAGTAAGGTCTGATTGTCTATGAAGATAGAGCAATAGGAAGAATAACAATAACCTCAATGCACCCATGCCAAGAAGGTTTGTTCGGTAACCAGTGTAAAACATACATCTACATTACACATTTAAAAAATACAGCCACACTACACAGGAAATTTGATTCATAATATGGGAAGGTGAGTTTACTATTGTGAGACATCATTTTGAGGGACACAGACTACTTGCACTGCAGGCGACACTGCTTTGTACGTGTTTAGCACAAGCATTTATAACTACAATGATGCATTAAGAATATTTTGATGCAGAAATGCCCTGATGTTTTCCTTAGACTGATCATGCTTCTGCATATAACATCACAACAAATAGGTTCACATATACAGCTACTATAGAGAGCACTTGTTAGATGCATTATAACACAGTTATAATGCATACGTTAAGCTCCAACAAGTGCTCTCTACAGTAGAAGTTATATTCAAGAACGTGGCAGATATATTGTAATTGGATACAAGTCCTGTTCCTGTCTATCATGAATATTTGACATTAAAATCAGTCAGCATTACATTACAAACACATTATGTCTTGTGTTTGTCTCATCTTCAGAACCACCCTACAGGTAGCTACAAACAGGACAATGTGCAACTCCATTGTACTCAATATCTGACACTTATTTAACATACGACATACAACAAGCTAAGGTTGTTAGATTGGCTTGTTCACCAGATCTTTCATAAACCCAGCACAACTAAGGAATTACATATACTAGCACAATAAAGGATCTAGAATCATCTAGAACAGTCGTCAGCAAACCATGGCTCAAGAGCCAAATAAGGCTCTTCCACAAAAGAGCATGTGCGGGCACATGCACATAAAAGCAAGGAAATTTTGAAAATACAATGCTAAAGCCGTCAAATTTTACACATGCATGAAAACAGCTGAAAACATATCTGCCAATGTGATTCCTAGAAAATTGTTTTTGGTACCGATTTTGGCATTTTCATTGTATTGAATATAACAACCAATTGTGCTGTTGTAGTAATTGTCATATGCCAAATTTTAACTAATGAAATGTATTGAATTAATATACCATTCAATGGCAATTTTAACGTTTTTTTCTAGAGTCTGAAGCAAAACTGAAAATGGGGCATTCTGCACAAGAAGGAAAGTTTGATGTAGACACAAAAATATGCAACAATGGATTCAAAATATTACACAATCAATGATTATAGACAGACAGTAAAATAGCTTGAACTAGAAGCAAATTGTTGATCCACGTTGTGAAGTTCAGTTGGATTTTCTGTGTCAGCTGATTTGATTTAGTTCAAACAATTTCTGAAAGAGAATTTACAGAAGGCAGGTCAGACATTTTATGGCATGACATGAGCTCATGATTCAGCATCAAACTTCGCTGGTGCAGTGGCTTCTTAACATCTATGAAAGGAAATTGATCGAATTTTAGAAACATGGCTTTAGCTTAAGAATGACATTATTTCAGGATAATAGGGAAATCTGACAAAAAAATCCTGCTGCATTACTATGTCCAACTGACACTAAAATCAATCAGACAGGTTAAAAAAAAAGTTCTACTGTGATCAGTGGGGTCATAAAAGCACTGCTGCACTATAAATGCTGAAAATAAGCTGTCACATTATGCCCTTTTTAAACATAAAAATCTCCTTTAAATAAAAACCTACTACCTTTTGAATACTGGTGCAAGTAAAAGATCAGGACTGGATGGCAAAAGAACAGAACAAGGCTTAGCTGAAGTCAATGAAGTTTCAGCAACCAAGCTGCTTGTTAATACCTGGGTTAAGTATGAAAGTGAAGATGAAGGAGGGAGGGGAGAAAAAGTTTTTGATACCACAAGAGATAACCAGGAAACTGCAAGCATTTAATGTATCCAACAACCATTCTTTTAAGACAACTGTGATGCTAGCAAGGGCGGTAGAGAGCAGAAGATGGAAATTGTGTTGTGATAAAAACAATCTCTGTTTCAGATGTATGAATTTATGCTTCATGGCAATTTCTACCAAAAGAAATGGTGTTCAAAACTTACAATGGCATCAAAAGAATGTTGCAGGGAATGTTTCAATGATATCAAAAGTGCATATTATCTGAGCATAAAAATTCAAGTATCACCGATTGTGACAGTGAAATTCAAAGCAAAGAACAAAAACAAGAAATGTTAAGTTCATAAAAACACTAATTATATTTAAAATCTTATAGCAGGTAAACACAACTGATAATCAACCGCTTTTAAATTACTTATTACCTTAAAACTGCACCCAAATTATAGCGGAAAATTTGAGGTTAAGCTGTGTGGCTTACACATCATTAATATGGCAAACACGTTCCAAATAATTCTTTGATTGCAAATCTTTTACTTAAAATATGATTATTTGACAGTTATTACCAATAATGCCTGCTTCTATAAAGCTCCTTTTACATTTATACCTTTAAAATTAGCAATTTTTCTTTCATACTAAGAAGGTAATTCTACAGCCATAGATCACCTACAGGTGGCAACACTGAATCACACTGACTAAACATTAAAGAAATTTTTTATTATGAAATGATTCCTAAAGTGAATTACATGAGTTTACCTTTTGAAAGACCATTCTTTCTTGATTTATAGCAATCAATGCATACAACAAATCCACATTTGTGACACACCCAGTGAATATTGAACAATGTTGTTTCACAAACATCACACATCTCACGAACACCTTGAACAACTCTTTTCCATGTAATAGTTCCATCTGTTAAAAAATTTAAAACCAATATGTCAATACAATGATTTATACAATTTATTTACTATGAACCACAACACAGAAAGAAACACATTCTTTGAAATGAATCTCATTCTTCATTTTAGAGGATGCATAAATGAAGTATAAAATATAATCAAAATGTCACAAAATTTCATATGGAAGTGAATGCATCAAACATTTTTTTTTAATTAACTTACCCACACAAATAAAAAATTCCAATACAACTACATATCCTTCAGACTAGCCATCTGAAGCCATCTATTTTACATGCATCACAGTGCCCATTAAAACAGCCAATCAATTAATTAAAGCTTGCAAATGCAGATAATGCAGAATATCTCAATAATCTACATTAATCAACTGTGCTCAATGAATCACCCCTCTGAAAAACAGTGATTACAAGGTTAAATGCTACACCATTTTTCCAGCTAAATTGAAAAACCGAATTTTCTTGTTTAACCCTATAAACCTTTCTATTATTTATTATAGTATATTTTTATTTATTTAATTATGCAATTCTTAAAAATTTTGTTACCATTATTTCAATGTGCAATTTAGACAAGAAAATTTAGCCACATTCTTCATGATAAAATTAACAGGTATATCAATTTTTTTAAGGTCCCAAAGTAGAGTCATCTATCATTTTCCAATTACTAGTACTTGACCACAGACAAAATTTTGGGTAAAGTTATGCCACTGGAACACAGGATATTTATAATGTGCAATATTTAATATCATAAAACTTTTAGAGTATAACACTGTACCCAAGCTTTTTTTTTTTAATTTTTAAAAGTTAATGAAACTAGAGCCTTTTAAAAAACCAATTAAGGAATCAATTGAATTTTATAATTCAATTATGTGAATTGCAAAAGCATGTAACAGATTTTCCCTATTTCTGAGATAACGCTAGGATGAATGCACATAAGCAAATTTATTGCAAACTTAATTCTCCAAATAAAATTTTTAAAAAGAACTTGATTTATTTAATGAATAAAATGGGTATGTTGTCATGAAAACTTATAGTGAGTGATTAACTCAATAACCATTCAAATCGATATAAAGAAAGGAGCTAAGTATATCAGAAATAAATTTTTTGAACACTGATATAAAATAAAGACTAAAACAGATTTTAGAACTTGATTTAATGAATGAATAAAATGGGTATGTTGTCATGAAACCTTATAATGAGTGATTAACTCAATAACCTATTTCAAATTTGATATTACCAAGGAAAAGGAGCTAAGTAATATCAGAAATAAATATTTTGAACACTGATATAAAATAAAGACTAAAACAGGTTTGGAAATAACAGAAAAAAATTAACTTAAAAAAAAAGGGGGAGGTAATAAGATGTGACCAGTTAGTGCAAAGGTATACAGACTATGCAGAAAATAAACATATAAGCAATACAGTTCTTTTAATTTAAACATTAAATATCCCCCATGTACATTCATGAAATGAATAATATATTTTTGATTAAATGTTTAAGATTTGTGGAATTTAAGAAATGTTCATTTTAATATACTAAAGGGACAGTGCATAGATAGCATACACATATAACAAAACAAATCATGCTGCTATTAAGGCTCAGATGCTCTAAAAATGCATCCTATGCATTAAATTAATTAGGTTATTTGAATGAAAATATTCAAATTAAATTTTACACAAATATAGATAAAAGTTTCAACAGCTACATTTCAGTACCTAAAAATATAAATCCTGATATAATCAAGAGCACTTAGTAGCAAATTATTGTAATTGGTAGATTAGGATATGAATGGGTACTGCCATGGTGTAAACAGCAAAATGAAAGCTGGAAGTGTAAGAGTTTCAGATTTGATGTGATCCAAAGCAGTTATAAATGACACATATCACATAGATTTAACACAGTACTCAAATACAGACCATGTATTACTAACAGGCAGTATCCCTCTTCAATACAAAACAAAAATTACATAAGATAAATAACATTTTTAGAACCTAATAATTCGTAATAAATTCATACCAGCTGACATATGCAATTTTTGAGCTTCTCTTTCCATTTCAACCAGATCACAAAACTGATCTCCTATATGAGTTAGAAGGAATTTTGAAGTTTCAATTTCAATATCTAGAGGAGGAGATTCTACAGGAGGAAACCACAACTTCAGATCACCTTCAGTTGCATCAGAAGGTTCCGAAAAACCAGCACTTAAAATTGTACCATTTTTTCCATAGCGAAGCCTGAAAAATATTTAATATGATTTGTGAATAATATTAACTGATAATAAATATAATTTTAAAATGCCATGACAGTTGCCAAAATAGGTGTCTCCTTGAACCATTTTTTTAATCACAGATGTTTTAGAAAGTTGTGATTGGGGTGCAACTTCATTAATCAAATATCTGAAAATTGATGAGGAAATGTTCAGCTGATAATTTATATTGGATTTTAGGTGACAGTTTCTACATGGAGAAAATGGAATTAAATTGCTTATATAGTTAACAAACTTATTAATTTGAACTAACATGAAATAAAAGAGGCAAGTTTACAGATGCTTTTACTTTCAAATCTATTTAAAGAAAGTGAAAATGTCCAAATAAAGAAATTAATTACCGACATTGAGCTCGAAAACTTCAAACCAAGCCAACTGTTGCAAAAACTAAGATCCCCTGCTACAATTGACATATCAGAAAATCTGATTAAAACTTTGTGGCTTGAAAAATTACCAGAAACAATGAAAAATATACTGTTAGTGAGTGAAGAAGATACTCTAAAACTTGCTATAATGGTAGATAAAATCCACAATACGAAAACACATACAGAAATATTTGATGTGCATAAGCCCACAAAGGATAGTGTCCGAATGATAAACTGTTGAACAGATTTCAATTTTTGGAATAACAAATGGCAAAATTAAGTGTTGAAAAATGTCAGATCAAAAGCGAAATATAATAACCCCCTCGTTCAAGCATTCGATCTAGAACACCCTACAATGCCAAAATATTGTTATTTTTTAATTTGAAAATAAATGCAAACCAGAAAAATTTCAAGCACCATGTCAATGGACAAAACAAATAAATGAAAATCAGGAAAACTAGATGTTGCAGTAGATTTGGCGACAAGCTCTCCTCCAAACATATAAGGATTATTGCAAATTTCATTTATTTATAAGAGATAAAAAAATCAAATTTGCCATTCCTCATTGATAGTAGGGCCGATGTCAGCATTATTCCAGCATCACCTACAGATAAAACCTTTTCTGACTTTAAATTATATGCCACAAATGGTTCAGAAATTGAAACATACGGAACTGAAACTCTTATTCTCGACTTGGGATTACTAAGAGATTTCCAGTTTCCTTTTATAAAAGCAAAAGTAAGCAAAGGAATACTAGAAGCCAATTTTTTAAACAAATTCAATTTGCTTGTTGACCTGAAAGGACAATGATTGATTGATGGAGAAACTAAGTTTTGAGTTAAAGGAGATATTTCTTCAATACCTTTAAGTAACAGCATAAGCACATTACACAAGTAATACAGATATCAAAATCTGTTTTCTAAATATTCTGACATACTTAAGACAAGCTTACTAACTTCAAATACAAACCATGACGTCAAACACTATATAGTAACTGAACGTTGACCTATAAATTTTAAAGCTCGTGAACTTAACCAAAATGCCTAATAGCTAAGAAAGAATTTAAATTCATGCTAGATAATGAAATAATTTGTCCTAACTCACAATGGTAAAACCGATTACATATGGTGATGAAAAAAGGTGGCTCATATCATCCATGCGAACATTATGAGAAATTAAATTCCCAAACAGTGCCTGATAGATACCCGATATCAAGAATTGAAGATTTTCACATTTTAAAGGACACCAAAATTTTTTCTAAAACTGATCTCTACAGCATATTATCAAATACCAATTTCAGAAGAGAATAAAGGTAAGACTGTGATAATAACACCATTTGGCCTGTATGAATTTAATGTTATGGAGTTCTGGTTTGAAAAATGCACCTTCAACATATCAGATTCATCCATGAAGTTTTTAGAGATTTAATTTAACTTTTGCTTATTTAGATGATGTATTGATCGCATCACCTAATGAAGAAAAGCATAAGAAACATCTTTATCTAGTTTTTGAATGACTAAACAAATACGGCTTAAGAATAAATTTGTCAAACACAACTTTTGGGGAACAAACTGTAGAATTTTTAGGGTATTTGGTTATGTCAAAAGACTCTCATCCATTACATAAAAAAGAAGTGATACTGAATTACAAAACGGCCAAAACCAGAAATGAACTAAGAACATTTCTTCGCATGATCAACTTTTGCTATCGTTACTTAAAAGATGCTGCAAAAACCCAAGCTATTTTACATAACAATCTGAAAGGTTCACAAAAGACGGACAAAAGAAAAATTCACTGGACTGAAGAGGCATTAAAACAATTTGCAAAGTGTAAGCAAGATCTTGCTAATACTGCATAGCTATCCCACCCAAATCCTGAATTACCTCTAGCACTGTATACAGACGCTTCAGATTCGGCTATTGGATCAATTTTCAAAATTACGACAAAAATGGAGCCACTAGCATTCTTTTCCAAAAAACGCAATACTGCACAGCAAAATTAAAGCATGTATGACCATGAATTACTTGGAATTTACAAATCTTTAAAACATTTCAAGCATGAAATTAAGAAATTTTACCAAGAAGAAAGAAATTTTAGAAGAAAATTAGAAGAAAGAAATTAGAAAAAAATTTAGAAGAATTTTAGAAAATTTAGAAGGAAGAAATTTTACCATATTTACTGATCACAAACCTCTGCTGTACACCTTTCAACAAAAAGCAGACAATTACAATATATTTCACAGTTTTACCACAGCAATTAAACATATTAAAGGTGAAAATAATATAATAGCTGACACATTATCAAGAATAGAAGAAATAACAGAAATTAATTATGATGAAATATCTGAAAGCTAAACTGATGACGAAGAATTAAAAAATTTACAATATTCAACTTCATTAAAATATACACAATACCCATTACCTTCAGGAAAAATTTATGGTGTGACACATCAACCACAATAATTAGGCCATATATACTGAAGACATATCAAATGAAAATATTTATTCACTTTTATGGATTTTCACAAGTAATAAAATCATCCATAAAAGCTTATAACTTCAAAATTCATTTGGCCGGACATAAAAAAAAAAAAAAAAAAAAAAAAAAAAAAACCCAACAGTGGGCTTGAGCATGTATTTCCTGCCAAAAACAAAGTTTCTCACCACACAAAATCAACTTTCAGGAAACAAGAAGAACCTACCGAGAGATTTTAAAAAATTTGTATCAGCATAATAGGGGCCATTAACCTCATCAAATGGAAATGTTTAATGTCCGACTTGTATAGATGGATTTATAAATTGGGTTGAAGTAATTTTGTTAAATAATATATCACAAGAATCCATCACCAAAGCTTTCTACAACAATTGGATTGCAGGATTTGGAACACCCTATAAAACTGAATAGACCATGGAGCAAAATTTTCATTCGAAATATTTTTGAACTTGTCAAGAATCTGTGGGCTTAAGCATACAACAGCCACCATCCATAGTGCAATGGGAAAATAGAACTTTACCACTTTATGGGAAAATAGTTTCACAAGTCACTCAAAGCAGCATTGGAACTTTACCAACTGTTCTCATAAGATTACGATCAGCAATAAAAAATACTAATCATATAATAACATAAATGGTTTATAGACAACCTATAAAACCAATCTTGAATTTTTCACAGAAAGTAGAAAGTTCCATTCATACAACACCAGAAGCATTCGTAAATAATCTTAAAAAGCAGATGGAATTCAAAAGACCAAAAGCATCACATTACAAAACGTCACAAAATGTTTTCATTTATAAGGACGTAAAAACATGCTCTCACTTATTTCTGAGAGCTAACTCGAACCTCCTCATGAAGGACAATTTATGGTGACTGAATGAACACCAAAATATTTCACTACTGAATTAAAAGGGAAAAAAATTCAATGTCACAATTGACAGATTAAAACCAGCCTTTATCTGGCAAATGGAAATGAAGACTTTCTCCATATTAAAGAGGATTCACTGAAAGTAAATGGAGAAATTGCCCCTCCTTAAATAGTCTTGATGTGGCAGAACAATAAAGATTCCAGTAAGATTTAGAAAGTGAAAATAACTCGTTACCAGTTGTAAATGTTGAATGTAACTGGTGATATAGGAGTACAAATGTATTAAGAAATCTAAAAATAAGAAATCTAAAATATCAATTTTATCTCACAGTAATACTAAAAACAATAAATTAAAATTTACACTTATTAAAAAAATCTTTTTTAAAAATTTAACTAAACGAAAATACCATTATCGTAATTTTAATTTCAAACAGTAGCTATGATGACAATTTTCCTTAAAAAAATGAACATTTTTTATAAGAATGTTAAGTTGATGGATGGACTTAAAATATGTTAAAATCCTCGGAAAGTGAAAATAATTGTAAATGTTTGTTGTAATAAAATTGTTCCATTAGTATAAACATTGTTTTATTTTTTAATGTGTCATCATTATTTGGTACACACCTCTTCCTATAATTTTTAAATGAAAACTTCAGATTCCTTTGGCTTCTCTACTTTGAATTACATTTTTTAAACACTCAACTATCTAAAATTTTTTCATACACAGCATTTGCCATTTCTTGAGCTTTCTACTCAGAAATTTTTACTTGTCTAAAATGTCTTAAAATGCTTATGCTACATAATACATCTTTAAGAAAAGACTTCTTGAGTTCTATTTTAAATGCTGTTAAATCTTCATATCTTCTGTACATAGAATATCAGTCCATGGACTTTGATGCATAATGTGTCAATAATAACAGTCTCTAAGTTTACTTTCTGAGGTACAATATTCTCATCCATCTAGATTGTGCACACGGCTGCACATGCATGCATCTTAAACAAGCATGAAGGTTTCATGGTCATCATTATTATAAGGTGATAGGATAGTTTCAATAGCTGTATTTTACAATATTATGGCACAGTGTCACTTAGTTTGCAGTTCAGAACTTTTTTTTTTCAACAAAACTAATCCATTAGTTCATATTTTACAACTCGGGCATGTCGTTACAGATATCAGCAGGTTTCCTTACCAATAAGTAAAGTTCTCATGCTCTTCCTGACTTTTGGCAATGACAATATAACCGACTGTGCAATTACAATTCACCTGTCAAAGAAAAGTCCACAGAACCACAAAAGAGAAACTTTTGACAAACCATGTTTATAATCTATCACTCTTCTACATCTTCAGATGGCCAATATTTGTACTTCTCAGTGAATATGACATGTAGACTCATCAGGCACTGAAGATTAAAAAATTCATGTTCTTTTATTACCTTTAAAAGTTCATAATAAAACTCAAAACATTCTTTATCTCTTTCTTGAGCCATTTGTTATATGAACTACATCAAAACACTGTGCTGTTATTGCTAATAGCAAATCTAATGATTTCTTCTTGGAAGCTCAGAAGTACCTGTTCTGCATATTCTGTATTTTCAACACTAGACTGGGTAGATCACTTGATTCTCCCTAAAATACAAACTTTATGTAAAATTTGCCTATGCTATTTGTAAAGACTGTTGATCAACACATATATCAAAATATTTACTTCCTATATTTGTCAATATCAAACAGCAACAAACACGCATTATTAGTTTGAAAATTTTCTTAAATAGCCTGAATTAATTACTTTTATTGACGAAGGAAGAACTAATATGATGCTTAAAAAATATATTTTTATATAACTTTCCACCTTGATTGTAAGGATATACAATCTGATATTTGTTCTATTTTTTTGAATAGTTAACTATTAAAGGATAGTCTCCATTTGCAAATAAGTAGTATTTTAAACGCTTCATGAAATTAACAGGTATATTTCCAATAAAAAACATTAATATGTGCACACTTATTGTATTTATGTTATTACAGGTACAGTAAAAGTGACTATTCAGCATTCAAATAACTGGAATACTTTAAATTTTTTAAACTTTCCTACACGAAAAACAAAGCAAATTAAACATTTCTAAACCTATTTATATAGCACATACAGGACCACCACAACTCGGAAGAAAAAAAAAATTGTCCCCAAACAGTGTAATTCAGTATGAATACTATAAGCATGACCTTGCATAAGATCTTTGCTTTGATTTTATGTGCAATCCAAAATTCTCAATAAGCTAATTTAGTTTTTGTTGCAAAATATATTATTTATTTATGTGCTTCATCCCTTTGCACTACACAAAATCTCACAAAGGATGCATAAGTTGACTGCTGTTTTACCATTGCAATTTGAAACAAATCATTTGAATTCACCAGCCTCAAAAGGAACAGCATGCAATGGAGTATTTACTAATTTATGCGATCCTGTCATTGAGAAAAGTATTACTTCATCGGCACAATAAGATACTTAAAGATTTGAAAACGGATAAAAGACAATGCAACATGAAAATCTAAGTTTTTTTGTATGAAAAATTATGACAAGAAATTATATGTTAAAATATGAAATTATGACATGTTTTTGATACGTTTTATTTATAATATGTACATCTTGATTACCTAATGAAATAAAGAACAATCAGCTCTTTCAAACTACTGCTGAAGTGACTGGTGCAAGTTTGACGAGACATACATATGACCAATGTTCCAGTCAAAAAGATTTCATGATTCAATTAGATGTTTTACCTTCAAGTGTTAAAGACCACAAAAAATATGTCGGTTTTTATATCTGAAATGCACTTGCTTTTCTTTTGAAATCTTATATAAAGTTAAAGAAGGCTTTTGATATTAAAGTTGATGAGAAATATGATGACTGTTTTTATTGAAATTTCTCCTTTTCTAACGTGAACTGCAATTTTCACTTACCTGGCATTTTCTGAGCTTTCTGGATAGTCAAGCTTTCACTATAAACGTAAATTAATACGAGGAGCACAGTCATTTTTATCCTCTCATGGGATGCGTAGACTTCACAAACCTTACTTCTTCCTTTAAATTATTTTTATTTCCTCTTACTTCGTTCTCAAGATCTGTAGGTTGTGAAAGTAAAAGTTAACTGTTTTAAAATTCAAAGCAGACACCACGAAAATACAGCACTTCACAAGTGGCTTCAAAATGTGTCGGTGCTCAGAAGTTAAGAAAAACCACAAATTAGATAAGTAACTACACATTTCTTATTTCATAACTGTCAAAATTATCTACAATGAACACTAAATGTTATATGTTCAGCCTAAAATTTAATCAATTTATCACTTGTGTCATAAACATTCAAAGAAAACATAGTTACTCAATTTGGGTATTAAGATCATTAATTATCTCCTTGTAAAACAGCTTCAGCATGATAGGTAATGCAAAATCTATATGCAAGCCCTTTTTCTGGTCAAAACATTTTTAAACTGCTAAGTTAACTTATATTCAGGACATACTATAGTACTTAACTTTCATAAATGACACCAATTAATAATAAATACCACTCGAAAATTTCTAAACTTCTACAAAGGAAAACTTAATATGCATTAGAAAATTCTTACATACATAAAATAATAACGATTATGTGGAGTTATGTCCAATGCAGTACAAAGTCTTTAAATCCGGACGTTCATAATCTGGAATGATCTATAACCCAGACCTCAAAGCTACAAACTGTCTGCGCATATGCGTTTATGCATGTGCATAATACCTTTACACATAATATGTTTACATATACGCGTTTAACGGATAATAATAGATGGTATTATCTAATTATTTATTTCAGTTAATGTTGCAGATTGCATTGTTCCTTAACCTTCTAAT